TATCTTTACAACCTAATTTGATTTTAGGTTCACTAGGGTTACTAGAGGTTGATTGGTAGTTAGAAGAACTTTCAGAACTGCTTGAGTATTCTGAACTCCCTTCACTCTGGGTAAGATTGTTTAACCTGAAAATGTTGAGAATTTCTTCTTCATCTTTTTGGGTTAAATTTAACCTTTTAATTTGTTTTTTAACTGGACAATCTGGGCTGATATGACCTTTCTTGCCACAGTTGTAACACTTAATTTATTTGTCTTTTTTACTATCTTTTTCCCCGGATTTTTTCTTACAAGTTTTACGCTTATAAGGCTTATTGGGTTTTTTACTAGACTTTTCATAATAGGTAGGTTTGCTAAAAGTCTTTTTACTACGTTTGTAGTAACTTTTATTACGGATATAAGGCTTGTGTGATTTGTGTTTTCTACTAGATGGTGCTACTGAAGGGAGACCATATTGTTTACAGAAATCACTCATTTCATACTTAGCCTTTTTCCTCTCATCTGTTAATTGTTTACTAAGTTTCATGTCAATACACATCCGCATGTCTTCTTTTTGGATTGTACTAACAAGATCACCATAGGTTAGTGAATCATATTCAATGATTCCTGTTTCTTTATTAAGTGCTTCCCTAATTTTGTGGGCAAAGAGGTTAGGTAGACCATTGACAAATTTTTCTTTCTAGAAAGATTTATCACAATCTGGCCTAAGCATTACTCTAGAGATGAATACATCTTTGTACCATCTAAAATCACTAAGTGTTGGGCACCTAAGGTTACTGAGCTGGTAATGGATCTTAGCTTCAATATTACTGGGTGTTCCAACAAAATGTTTAATTATTGTGAAGATAAGGGTGTTAATCCCATCCTCTCTGCTTTACCAATTCTTTCATCAAAGATTGGCATTCCTTCATCATCAAGAACAACAACATATTTGATAATGTCTCTTGATTCTTGGGTAAGGTAGTTATCCCACCAATTTCTTAACAAACCTGTAAATCCAGAGGTGATTAAATTAACTAGTTCTAGTTCGGTGTTGTCAAGATTGCTGACATAACTATTAACAACCATAGACATGTGGTTGATTTTATTAAGGATTTCTTGTTCACTCAACCCATCTATGTTCCATTCATAGATTTTGTTGGATTGAACTGAAAACTGGTTACTGATATTCTTTTCTTCGAATTGAAGATTAGATGGTGTTGGTTAGGGGTACCAATTTTTACTAGTGCTAGTCGGGTTAACTTTTGAAAAGGTTAATTTATTAATGTGGTGGTTATCAAACTGTTCTTCTAATTTTACAATTTCAGAATCAGTTGATCTTTCTGAATTATTGGTTTCTAACTTGTCAGAAGTTTGGTTGATAATTGTTACTTTGGGATGGACCTGGTTTGGGTTCCATTTTTTAAAACAATTCCTCAATTTTGTGAAGAGTTTGTTTATCTTTTAATCCTAATTTAAATCTATCTTCAGGTAGATGAACTAGAGATTTTTCTAGTTTTTTACTTGAAGATAGTCTGATTTCATCAATTTTAGTTTCAATTTTATCTAACTGTTTGCCTATTGTAAGTAGACTTTGGTTAGTAAAATTGTTTTGTTCAATTATTTTCCTATCAGATTCACTAGAGGGAATCTTAAAGGGTGAGGCTTTTACTTCCTGGTCTTTGTGACTAAATGTGATGGTTTCAGCTGGAGGATGACTAGAGGATACTATTGTAGCATTTGTGGTCTTCCATTTATGCTTTTTTTTTTTATCACATTTACTTCTCTGTGATGGGTTTCTAGATAATCAAAAAATGAAATTTCATATTCCATTTTATGCATTAACTTAACCTATTGTTGCATTATCTCTTTTTGTTGGTAACTACTGAACCGTTTAAAATATTCTCGTCTTTTGGATTCATTTTTCTTAGACTTGAATTCTTTTCCTAACCCAATCATGTTTGGTAAAAATAAACCACTATCCTTCTTAATGGTGAGAAGCTAATGGTTTATTGGGATATGACTGTCTAGGTTAGTTGATGTAGGAGATGGACTAAAGTCATCTTCTTCAACTTCCCTAGGTGTGGTCTGTGATGTACTTTGTTGTGGAGCATAACACAGCTTGCTAATTTGTGATGTGGAATTATCGATTCCTTTTAACTTAAATCTTTTTTCTAATTCATTTGCTAATTCTTTATCTCTTCTGGAGAGTCAAAAGAGATTCTTGCTAATCCATTAGATAACTGCTGGATATGCTCTACATCTATGGTAGTGTTTTTACTTTCTTTATTATAATTTTCATTTTCAACTATCCAAGAGTCTGGGAGCTTAACATCCTTCCAAAGGATTTGGTTAGGGACTTGTATATTTGATTGGGTTGTACTACGTTGGATCAATAGGGTACAATCTTTAGGACTTTTTTTAATGCATTCTCATTCAGGTTTGTGGTAATGCATTTATAATAAATCCTATAGATTAATACTATTGATCTGGTTTCTTCAACTAGTCTAACAATGTCTCTGGATAGCTTTATTCCTAAGGTTAACGCTATAGGGGTGTTAGGACATTCTAGACTTAGTGTGATGTCAGGAAAGCAGTTGAAGTATATTGGTCCTTTGTGAAGATCAGTCTCCATTATCCCTAATATGCTAGGTTGATAATCTAGAAACCTAGCATCTCTTAGAGTTAATAGAGCTGCTGCATTTTCTCCTAGTTGAATTAGTGGTTTAATTGCTACTTCAACTAAACGAATATGTATAAAGTTAAACCCCTTATTTCTATGTTTTTTAAGGGTTTCTTGACTAAGTAAATGACAAGTTTCTTCATCCTTACTAAGGGAATAAACTCGTTCAATAGTTTTTACTTGAAGTTCTTTGTTGAATGCTTTGGGGATCCAACTAGTTTTGTTGATTTCTCGATGGGATACCTCTGGGATATTCCATCCTATCCAGTCTACCTGTGGCTCCTGATACTCATGTTCTTCTTCATTCACTATATTTGATACAATGTTAGACGAAGATCTAGATGAGCTAGCCATAGAATTAGATCTGAATAATCTACTCATTTTTCAATTACATAAATTATTATTAAGGTTTGACTTCATTGTGCATACTCCCTAACATACAACCCTCAACTTTGTTGTCTTCTTCCCATGACTGCCTCTCACTAGGACTTACAAAAGGGATCTAGACTCGTTCTATCGGGTGACAAAGGCTAGGTGACAAGGGTAGATCAAATTTAACAATGATTTACTAAACTGAAATGGAAGAGATTTAAAACAAGTAAGACAATTCAATTGTAATTGCATGGATAACTATCCAGGCCGTCAAATGGCTCTGATACCAATATATAACAAGATACGAAAGACATAGATATATGAGGAGAATCACAAGCTATAGATATAATGTAATTGCATGACTGCCTCACATAACCACTATGTCAGTAGATCTTTATCTTGGTGCTAAAGCTTTTATGTCTTTTTCTTGATTTCTGCTTTAAGGTTCTTTTCTTCGACCTATTTCACATTTCATTTTCATGGCGTGAACACCCACCTCCTATCATGACTCTCAACGGTTGATCTTTCCTGATGTTGACACTTGTGAGATTGGTGATAAGGAGGCTTGAGCAATTGCTAGCCCTTACGCATTTCCAAGCAGAGTGGTCGTCCATGCTGCTAAACGTCATCCTTATCATCGTTCCTTGAGGGGTTAGGTCTGTTTCTTCAAGTCCCCGTCCAATTAGAGCTTCGGTTCCCTATTCCTCCCTTTGCAAGGGAGGTTCTGCTTTTCTTCAGCTTTTGCCCTACTATGCTTTATCCTATAGGCTGACCGGTTCTGCTAATGTTCTCTGTGCTATGGGAACGGATGTTCACTTGATCTCGTGCCACCATGGCTGAGTTTCTTAACTTCTTTCGCCCGGTAGAGGTATCTGAGTTCTACTACTTCACCTCGAGGTAGTGGGGAGAGATTCTTATTACTGACCTCCCTTCTAAGCCTGAATGATAGAGGATGAGGTACTTCTTTGTATTCGTGGCGGGATGGGAGTTTAATCCCCAGGTGACGTCACCGATCAAGGGTTCCTACGGTCTAGCGGAGAAGTGGCCATCTTGGTGAGTTTCCCTGGCTTGGTGAGTTTTCTTCTATTGATTCACCCCTGCTGTGCTTGTTGGGATCTAACTTGGCTTGTTGTCCTATTCTTGTGTGTCGCAGGCTAGTATCCGACCTTGACTGGTGAGACGCAATCTCGGGTTGGTCAAATTCGAGCTTAGTTGTCTTTTTCTTACACAAAGCTCATACATCCTGAGCTGGCTGTGAACCTGAGTAGCCGTGATTATGTACTATTCCTTTAATATTGTGTTATATCTTTTTGGTGAGTCCCCCCGAGCTTACCCTTTGATCGCCTTTCTTGTCTAGTCTATGGGTATTTGATCAATGAAAGAGATGTGATTGTGGAGCAAGTGGGCCAGAGGAGGCGAGCACGGGGTTTGGGGTCTCTAACAAAGAGGGCCAGTCTCATAAAGGATAGCCCAGCGTTAGCGTCAACATCAAGCTTAGCTGCCGAGCCCAGGGTTCCACCTAGCATTGACGGAACACCAACGCCTTATTAGTGCCAAGCTTCCCTGTTGCGCCCAAGGTTCCTCCCGATGTTGATGAAGCATCGATGTCAGCACCAGTGCCTAGTGCTGAGGAAGCAAGGGTGGGGACAATGACTTGTAATTCTAAGGGAGGGCCTGTTCAGCATGGTTCTGTGTTTGTCGGCGTGGCAGGTTCTAGCTTTGGTTAGCTTAATTCGGCCTCGATCGTGGATCTTTAGGGGAGCCTGCTGGATGATGTAGTTAGAAGTAGTCGAGTCCTTATCGAGCTGATTCCCCAAATCGATCTCTATCGCTCTAACAGCCTGCCTTTCAAAGCTAGGAGTCGGGATGCCTTGCACGTGCTCCTTGACGTAAGGTTTATCATCTTTTTTCGTCTCCGACTTGTCTTGTTTCAACTGTACAATGATTAATCTTTCTATCTTGACTTTAGGTTGCGACACATATTTGTACCCTCGAAGGGGAAATCCACCAGCTGAGGGCGAAGGCTCGTAGGAGGGACGCTGAGCTATTGCGCTGGGGTTTAGCTTTGGAACCCCAGCTGGAGGCGGCTCTTGAGCAGAGTGTTGGGCAAAAATTTGAATATTTTGTCGAACATGACTTCACTCATATAACAAAGAATTATACGAGTTTTATTAAATGTAGGTTAGACCCATTCCATATGGTATATATCCATTAATTATAATCTCTTGCTTCAAAAGAACACCATTTGATTCTAACGAGAAATTATCACACGTTACCATTTACACCACAAGGGGATTTTATTTGTGATGCTGGCTTTGGGAAAATTAAATTATTATTATTATTATTATTTTTGGGTAAGATCAACGGGTAGATGACCCATTGATCTTGAATGAACAAAATGTCCATTATGTTTGAAATGGGTATATGACCATTTGGATTGATATAGGTTTAAGGACCACTTGATTGTGGAGGAGTTGTGACTGTGTCTAGTTTAACTAGACTGTCTACATATCCAAAAGGGAATCAAGTTAGTCGTAGTTCATGAAAAAAATTTATTTAGGAATGTGACTGTGGCTAGGGTAGATGCTGGACTACCTACGTTTCCAAAAAATGGAATCAAGTTGGACGTAGTTTGAATTTTAGGAATTTAATTGAATGTGATTTGGAATTTCGACTGTGCCCAGGATAGTTGCTGGACTGCCTATGTATCTAAAAAATGGAATCAAGTCAGACGTAGTTCGGAATAAGAAATTAGAATTTATTTAAAGTTTATTTGGATTTGCTACTACTCCTAGTTTAACTAGACTTCCTACGTATTCGAAAGGGAATCAAGTCAACCGTAGTTCGGAATAAGAAATTGGAATTTGAGTGGAGCTTTAAATGAGTGAATGACCCATTTAATTTGAAATTTTATTTGATTTGGTTTTAAAATAGGTGAATGACCCATTTGATTTAGAATGAAAATTTATTTTTATGTGACCCAAAATTGAATTTTTGGATTCACTTAGCTCATGCATGAAGATGGAATTAAATTCCAAAACTTTTTTTTAGGAGTTTAACACTCCAAAAATTAATGAAGAGTTAACAAAAAACTCTTTTAGTATGGAATTGGAAGGGACCCATAAAAGGGAGTCCAAGACATATATTTGTGGAATTAAAAATTCCAAGATGTTATAACATCCAAATTCAACATGTGTTTGTTCCAATAAACCATGTCGTGTGTAATCAGAGGTTTCATTGAGTTGAACTAGTAGTATTTACTTTTTATTTTTGTCATGCACTGGGAGTATTGTTATTATTTTTAGTAGCTACATCGTGTGGGTGTAAGTCCACATCGTCAGACTTCGCAGCGAGAAATTGTGAACCAAATTTAAAAAATCCAAGATTCTTGACAATGAGCAAGCATTAATTTAAACCTCCAAAGTGGATTTGCTTGAGTGAAAATTCAGTAGCTGCTCAAATATTTGTGGAGTCGAAGACACCAGTTTTCAGTTTTCTTTAAGAGTTAGAAATTTCAAGTCTTTTTTAAGAGATAGAAACTTCAGATTTGTTTTAGGAGTTAAAAATTCCATTAATTGATGGATTGAAAAGGTTTGTAGCAAATGTAATGTAACATTATTTTACCAATTTGAGAATCTAAGACTCTATGTTGATTTTGCTAAGAATAATCCCAAGGCTCTCACGCCATTTTTTTTAGTTGTTGCCATAGAGAAAGTTTCACTGAATAGCTATATCTTTGCGAATGATCTACAACAAGGCATGATTTTTTTTTGTAGCAAGTGCAAATTAAAAAAAAAAATTTGTTGTATGCATGCCGAACCGCTACATGAAATTTTGATGGGTCTAACAAAAATCCGGGGCTTCTGATGGTGAGTTTTAAACTTAATAATTCGTTACTTGAGGCAAAAGGGGGAGTTGAAAACTTCCTTCGAAAGAACCAGTGGACTTGGATACTTCAAAGAGTAGAAAACTCTTGCATTTTTTTTTTTTGCCCAAGAAAGCTTTACGACTTAAAAACTCTTTGACTTGACCATGGGTAGAATCTGAAAATTTTTTATGATTGCAATGTGTTTCGAATTAAGCAAGGTGGAGAGGAATAAAAAACTATTTTTGATTGATGCAATTTTTTTTTGAAGAGCCAAAGGCTCTTAATTTCAATAAATTTTCCTAGGAGTTAGAAACTCCATGCTACTTTAAAATGGTATTTGAAAGACCAGTGCAGAATTGTTTTTTCTTAGAATGGTCTTTGAAAGACCAAAGCAGAATTTTTTTTCTTAAATTATTTTTTAAAAAAATGGTCTTGGAAAGACCAAAGCAGAATTTTTTTAAAATGACTTTTGAAAAGACCAAAGAAAATTTTTTTAAAATGGTCTTTGAAAGACCAAAGCAGAATTTTTTTTTTCTTAAAATGGTCTTTGAAAGATCAAAGTAGAATTTTTTTTTCTTAAAATGGTCTTTGAAAGACCAAAGTAGAATTTTTTTAAAATGACTTTTGAAAAGACCAAAGAAAATTTTTTTAAAATGGTCTTTGAAAGACCAAAGCAGAATTTTTTTTTTCTTAAAATGGTCTTTGAAAGATCAAAGTAGAATTTTTTTTTCTTAAAATGGTCTTTGAAAGACCAAAGCAGAATTTTTTAAAGGTTTGCTGCAATATTTAAAAAAAAAAAATCAATAACAAGCCAAATGGGAGTTTAAAACTCCACTAAGCCAAATTCTCACAACCAAAGACCAAAAATCTAATTCAAGATAATTTTGAGGAATTAGAAATTCCTCTAAATTACATATAAAGAGGGGACTTGTACACAAGAGTCAGAGACTCTTGTGGATGGAAGGTTTTTTTTTTTTTTTTTTTTTTTGGTGTAGGTGCATTGATTACACACCAGGGATCTTTACCAATGCCATGGAACATCATTTGATAAAACTTGAAAGACTCCAAGATGTGGTTATTTTTTCTTCTGGGTATTGCAGCAAGATTTGGAGGAGTTATAAACTCTTTTGGTCTTTCATTTGAAGAGAATTCTGCTGCCACTTTTTTTTCTTGTTTCTTTTTCTTTCTTCTAACCATCAAGACTCCTACAATCTGCAACTTTGAAGGATCGGTATTGCTGGAATTGCTTCAGATTGCTATGGATTTTTTCACTGAGTTGCTGCTATCAGAGATTGAAAAAAAATTAAATCGACAAGGAAAAGAGTAAACAGATTTATTTTTACCTTTTGCAAAACTTCAGAATTTTTTTTTTTGGCCTTTCTTCCTTGTCCTCTCTCTACCGAAATTTCCCTTTCTCCTTTGCTCGCTTTTTTTTTCTTTTCTCTTCCTTTGATAACCGTCTGAAACTCTTCTAGATCTATTCTCTTTTGTTTTCTTTTTCGCCCATTAAATAGAGGGCAAACATTAACTGATACAAGGCTTTAGTGGGCTAGGTGTCAAGCTGCATGAGTGATTAGTGGTTCTCCCATGATATGCCAACCATTTTTAACTTCTACTAGTAGCATATTTTTAGGTAGTGGGGCTTCCATTTATCCCACTATTTGATGGGTAGATTTATCTTGAAATAATCACCCATAACATGTGTATAAATCATTTGCTAACTTTAAACACCAGCTACTACTAGAGTATGAATGAGATGTTTGTGACCCACACAAGTCTTGATTGACTTTTTTTTTAACCATGGCTATGAGACCACATCCAAAATGTAACAAATGAGCTTAGAGACTCTTTCAATGACTAGGGTCATGAATAAATAGCTTATGGAAAAAATTTCACACCTAGCGTGCACCCATCACCAACAAATTCGTACTAACCTTTAGTTGAAATTTTTTTTATGTTCAACAGTGAGCTCGGGTTTTTCCGACAGTTGATTACCACTACCACCTCAGAGATCTCTTTGCTGGAACAGTTGAGGACTCAGTCAGAAGAATTGGCTTCCTTGCAACAGAAACTTGATGCCCAAACTGATGAGCTGATCTGCTATCAAACCGACAATGTGGTGTTAATGGCCCAAGAGGGTGAATCTTGCGTGGTTATTGTTGAGCTGAGGGATTCCTCGACTGTCGAGCACCAGTTAGTTGAGAAGCAGCGCAAGGAGATCAGGAAACCCAGGAAGGAGGCCGCCAAGGCATTTGTAGATGGATTTTTCAATTCCGAGGACTAAGCGGCGATCGAGAATTTTTCTAACCTTTGCCTGGATCAGTTTGAGCCTCGATTCGACCTTCCTCTGAGTGGTCCCTCTGGTGCTTGTCCGCCATCCAGGCAGCCTTGAAACCTTTGCTGCTTTTTGTCGCTGTCGTTTCATTTTTTTTTAAGTGTAATCCTTCTTGATTACTAAAATGAAATACATTTTAACTTTTTCCTGGTGTTGTTGATTACTTGTTGCGTTCTCCCCTTGCCCCCTACTACTCCAAGGAGGCCTTGATCTGGTTGGAGTATAGTTGCTACTTTAGCCATTCGTTTGCCCCTCATTCCTGATCTGTACAATCTCGTGTTGTGTAGTCCCGATTTGTGCAAGCTCAAGCTATGTGTATCTGGGCTCTTTGACTTTTTGTCAGCTCTGCTTGGCTGTTCCTTCTTACTATTGTCGTACGTTCTTAGATCAAGGTGTACGGGGTTTAGTCGAAAAAGCAATAAATGAATCGTTATTCATGCCCACCTAACTTCACCTAACTTTCTAGGGTGCCACCTTTATTAACTCCTGCCATGAAATTTCTTCGTTATAGCAGTGTAATGGTCGCCTGTTCATCTTTGCATGTCGTCTACTTCCTTTATCTTGGAACTTCTTACTTTTCGCATTCTCACTTCTCCATAGAGTTTCTTTTGCGTTTGCTTACTCCTTGGTTCCATGGCTTCTTCTCCTACCCCGTTGTTTAAGCAGCGTGCCCAGGTCATGATTGATGAGCCATGATACTCTGTGTTTTTGCTCCCCTTTGTTGTTACTTGAGGTAAAGGAGGTTAGAAGGCGGTATCTTCTTCCTGGTAGCTTGACTGTCCAGATTCCTTCGTTTGACGAGCCTTACAACCTTCTTTTTCAGTGGGAAGTTAGTATTTTCAAAGGCACGTTCAAGATGGGTATCCGTTTTCTCATTCATCCAACCATAGGGTGAGTTCTTGCTTTTTCTGGGCCGTGCCCTTTACACCTTTCCCCAGAGGGATGGGGTACTCTGATGAGCTTTTTCATTCTTTGGCGCTTGTAAGGTTATGATGATTTTTCCACTGTTGCCGAATTCTTCTATTTCTTTGACTTCGATTTTGACATGCCTTCTTGCTTTAGTCGCTTCACGTGGAGGCATCATGTCTCGATGCTGGTTCTCGATGTCCCTAGCTCCCTAGAGGGATGGACTCAACATTTTTTCTTTGTTTCTGGGGATTCCTGGGAGTTTGTTGAGGCACAGTCTGAGCGTTCCCAAGTTTCTCACTCTTAGGGGCATCTTCTGGACAGAGGTAAAGGAATAGTGGTTCTCTTTTCCCTTCTTCCCTTTTCTTTCTAGAGGGTTATTTTGGTTGGTAACCTTCATTCTAAGTCTTAACAGTGTTTATTTTATGCAGATGTCCTCAATCTGACTCCAAACGAGATCATTAGGGTCTGTCAGTTTACTCGGGCCGAGACGGCTCCTTTCTTCATTCTTGTTACACCTCAGAACCTCTTTCGATTCGAAATTAGGCCCAACCTGACTGTCATTTTGGTTGTTGCTCCAAATCCTCATCCTAATGTCATCGATGTAGACTCCTTTCCAACTGAGTCGGATGAGGATGCTGTTACCTCGTCAAGGAGAAAAAGGAAGCGTCGATGAGGCAGCCTATCGCTGCAGTCATCAGATTCTTCCTCTGGTGAGATGAGGTTTACGACTGCTGAGTTGGAGTTCTAGTGGTAGTATCGCTTCAAATGGTCTGTGTTCCAATAATGCTGTAAGTCTTTCCCTTCTTCGGTCTGTAGCTTGTAGTTACCAGGTTAGATCACCCTCTGCACAATGTATGGTCCTTTCCAATTTGGGCTAAGTTTTTCATGTGAGCGATCTTTTCTAGTTGGGAGCAGTTTCTTGAGGACCAGATCACCTGGTTTGAAGCTCCTTTTCCTTACTCGTAGGTTTTAATATCTCGCGATGTTCCTTTGGTAAGAGAATATTTGTTGTAGTGCTTCATCTATTTTCTTGTCCAAAAGATTGAGGTTGACAAGAACCTTTCATTCTTCTTGGGAGCAAAGAGTTCAGCCCTTACTGAAGGCAGTCCGACTTTGACTAGAGCCATGGCTTCAGTTTTGTAGGCAAAGCTGAATAGGGTCTCTCCCATTGTCGTTCGCATCGTCATTTGATAGACCTATAACACCGCTGGAAGGTGATCAACCAATTGGGACTTAGAGGCTTCCAACCTTGTCTTCAATGCCATCTTGATGGTTCTAATGGTAATCTATGCCTGCTCATTGGACTGTAGGTGCGCAGGTGCTGAGAAATAATTCTTGATTCCTAGCTCCGCACAGAACCCTATGAATCTTGGATTGTCGAATTATTTTCCTTTTATTTGAAACTACTACTTTGGGGATGCCGGAGCAACAAATTATCGACTTCCAAATGAACTTCTTAACCTGCTGCTCAATTATTTTGGCCAATGCTTCAGTTTTTGCTCATTTGGTGAATTAATCCACCACGACTATGACAAATTTACATTGTCCAACACCAATTGGTAAGGCCCTCGGATGTCCAGGCCCCCGCTATTGAAGAGGACAAGGGCTGATGATGGGTGTGAGCTACTCGGTGGTACAATGTGGCAGGTTCCGGTGAATATGGCATGCTTGACACTTTTTTAGCATTTCTTTTGCGTCTTTGGTCATTATGAGCCAAAAGTATCCTTGTCGGAGTGCCTTAATGGCCAAGGTTCGTGCGCCGATGTGATTCTCGCGGATGCCCCCATAAATTTCTCTCAAGATGTAATTTGCCTCCATCTCTGAGACATATTTCATTAGTGGAAAGGAAAAATATCTCTTGCACAACTTACCTTGTATAATGGTGAACCTCGCGACCTTGCTTTTCAACTTCGTTGCTTCCTTCTTGTCACGTGGGAGGAACCCGTCCTATAGGAAGGAAACAATGGGGTCCATCCATGAGCTGGTCTCATCGACTGGCATGACTTGGTCATCGTTAGGGTGGACACTTTTTTCAAGCAGGATCTCGACAAACGTCATTCCAGATAAGTCTTGCTAGGTAGTAGTAGCCAATTTAGCCAATGCGTCGGCTTGGGTGTTAGCTTCTCGGGGCACCTGGACAAGCTCGGTTACCATAAATTTCCTCAGCAAGCTTTGCACTTTCCTCATATATAGAGCCATCTTGTCATCTCAAGTTGTGTATTCTTTCTCTACCTTTTAACCACCAACTAAGAGTCGCTATGGAGACTGACCTAATGCACGTACATCAACAAGGCTAAGTTGAGGCTAGTTATAAGAGCCTCATACTCTGTCTCATTGTTGGAGGCCTGGAAGTTAAACCTTAACGCATATTTCAGGTCGTACCCCTCCAGAGAGGTTAGAATCAAGCCAGCTCCACTCCCTTGCGCATTTGAGGCACCATCTACATATAATTTCCATGTTAGGACGTCAAAGACATAATCCAGGTTCTTTGTCTGGTCCTCGGGTATTAGGGTGAACTCTACTAAGAAGTCTGCTAGCACTTGACCCTTAATCGCTGTTCTTTGTTGAACTTGATGTCAAATTCGCTGAGCTCCACTGCCCATTTCACTAATCTTCCACATGCCTCAGGTTTATGTAATACTTACCTTATCAGTTGATATGTCGGAATCTCATCTTAGCCTTTCTCGTGACAACTAGGAGACTGAGGCCTTACTACAAAAGTAAATCGATTATTGGGCTCTCTCTTTGTCCTTCACCAAAGCGACACTGACTGAAAAGTCAGATACAGCGAGATAAAGGGCTAAGACTTCTCCCTCTCGGGGGGTAACTAATACAGGTGGTGAAGTCAGATAGGTCTTTAGAGCATGGAAGGCTTCCTCGCATTTCTTGTTCCACTAGAAAGTGGCATTTAGAACATTGAAGAACGACTGACACTTGTCACTGGAGCGCGAGACATATCGATTGAGTGTCGCGATTCTCCTGGTGAGGTGCTATACTTCCCTGGTGTTTATGGGAGATTTCATTTCCAAAATAGCTTTTACCTTTTCAGGGTTCACCTCAATACCTCGACTGTTGACTATGAACCCCAGAAATATTTTCGTCGAGACTCCAAAAACACATTTTGCTGGATTCAGCTTCATCTTATATTGGCGCATGATCTCAAATGACTCCTTGAGATGCTAGATGTAAAGCTCAGACTTAAGGGACTTGACCAGCATGTCATCAATGTATACTTCCATCGTCGATTCGAGATTCTCACAGAACATCTGATTGACCAATCTTTGGTAGGTGGCTCCAGTGTTCTTCAACCCAATTAGCATGACTTGATAACAGAAAATTCCTAGCTCCGTAATGAAAGAAATATTTTCCTGGTCATTGGGATCCATTTTGATCTGGTTGCACCCCAAGAAGGCATCCATGAAACTAAGGAGCTCATGCCCAGCCATGGCATCGACTATCAAATCAATCCTGGGCAAAGCAAAACTATCTTTGGGGCACACGCGGTTGAGGTCGGTGAAGTTAATACACAGCTACCACTTCCCATTCACTTTCTGGACTAGCACCACGTTGGCTAACCAAGTGAGATAATTGACCTCCCTAATGGCCCTTGCTCGCAACAATTTAGCCACCTCTTCGTTGATCACCTTTTGCCTTTCTGGAGTAAAACTCCTCCTCTTCTGCTTGATCGATTTGCAATTCAGATCAATGCTGAGTCGAAGCACAATCACTCCTAGGCCGATTCCCTCCATATCCTCTTGTTTCCAGGCGAATACGTTAGAATTTTCTTTCAAGAATAGGATGAGTTTGCCTTTGATATCCTGTAGCAACATCGAGCCTATAAAGACCACATGTAAAGGGTCCTCATCGATCTGCACTGGCTCCAGTTGCTCTGATGGAGTTGGTAGGGTTTCCAGTTCATCTCTCATATTAAGGTCTTCCAACTGAACAAACTTTACTTCTTTCTGCCCCATAGATGCCACATAGCACTCTCTGGTGAGGCGTTGATCTCCTCTGACCACCTCAACCCCATTCTCTGTGGGGAATTTCATGACCAAGTGATATGCCGACAATACGGCTCTAATGGAGTTGAGGGAGGGTCTCCCGTGTAAGACATTATAGGCAAAATGGGCATCCACTACTAAGAAACAAACCATAGAGGTAACTTGGCAAGGGTGGTCTCCTAATGTGAGGATGAGCAGGATGGATCAAATGGGTAGGACCTTTTCACCCGAGAAGCCTAAAAGGTGGATTCTCACGGATTCAACTTTCGATTTGTCTATACTAAGTTGATCAAAAGCAGAGAAGAAGATGATATCTGCCGAGCTACTGTTGTCGATGAGTACATGATGTACAACTTTGTTTGCAATGATGGCTTTTACAACAAAAGGGTCATCATGAAGGTGTTGACATCCTTCCAAGTCGGCGTGGGGCTTTTCGAATCATTTGCACCTCAAGGAAGTCGTCAGACCTCGCCCTGAGCTGGACTCATATATGCCCACAAAGCAGCCTGAGATGACAGTGATTTCCCAAAGGGCCTGTTGGTGCTATTGCGGGGGTGGGATGGCAACTCTATCGTTTCGCTCTCTCCCTTCTCCTGCCACATAGTGCCATAAATGGCCCCTCTAGATTAGGTATTCTATTTCCTTCTTTAGTTGAATGCATTTGTATATCTCATGGCCCATAAATTTGTGGAAGTTGCAGTATTTGGTGGGATCATGTCTCCTGGGATCAAACTTCATCCGTGGTGGCCACTTGACAAACCTCTTGTTCTAGACCTCAAGGAGGACCTGAGAAATGGAGGCGATCAGGGGCTTAAGCCGAGTTGGCACATATCTTGGTTGCAATTCCTAAGGTGGAGGACCAAGGCAGTCTTTGACATTACCCCCTCATTTTGGGGAAGGCTCACTGTCTTTTCTTGGAGACCAATCTCTCCGTAGGGATTGATCACGTCTCCTTTCTTTTCTCGGACTGCGCTCTCTCTTTTTCTTCTTTCCTTTGCCTATAGATGATGATCCTCTCTTTGAGCTAAGGGCTTCCTCACCATTAATGTACTTCTCAGCCTTTGCAAGCACCTTGGCCATAGTTGTCTGAGGGTTCTTGGCAATTGAAAATAAGAGGTCCTTTGATTGGGGGTTGAGTCTCAACATGGAAGTGGTCAAGGTAAATTTGTCATCAATAATCTCTACCTTCAAAGATTCCTAGTTGAACCGCTGCCCGTAGCTCTGAAAGGACTCGTTAGGTATTTGTCTGATGCTCAACAGATGATAAGACGGTTTCCTGTAAGTTTTGGCTCCTATGAAATGAGATACGAACTGTATAGACAGTTCTCTTAAAAAAGAGATCAAGGACGGTGGCAATCTATTAAACCAAGCTATCACCGACCCTTTAAGGGTTATGGTAAAAGCTTGACACCGGATAAGGTCCAGGTACCCGTGAAGCTCCATTAGGTTTTTATACGAGTTTAGGTGATCCACTGGATCCTTGGTCCCATCAAACGCCTCTATCTACAGCATCCAGAACTTTTGGGGTAGGGAAAAATAAAGGATCTCAGTGGTGAAGGGCGATTCGATTTGCTGGAGCTTTCCCTTTTACTATTTCCTTCACGTTCTCGAGCTCCTGTTGGATCTCGTAGAATCTCTGCTCTCAAGACTGGTCCATAGTATTCTGTAGAGA